CATATTTTCTCTTTCGATTCTTTGCTGTTCCCTCTGTCTGTTGAGAGCACTATGATACAACTTGGGGGGATGGCCGATGGATCTTCCGGGAATTGTACTTTTGCTTCCTGGTTTTTCAGCCTGTCTTGACAGTTCTTTCAAAAGCCTCTGGTTTTCCCGGTCAATCTGTCTCACCTCTTCTCTTGTGAAAGAGTAGTTTTTCCTAGGTATTATTGAAGGCTGCTCAAAGTGATGTTTCTGTGGTCCCTTTTTATCTAATTGCAGGAAAGCTGCAGAAGGGACCAAAAGTGACAGTGGTAAATAAACAAAGCAGCTATGATGGTCCATGCTTTCATTTTTAAGAAACTAAGTTCACAGAATGCAGGGAATGAGCTAATGACTACTTGTGTAGGAAAAGCTTGGATGCAGTTCAGTTTTATGTTTGCTGGGTCCTTTGAGCATAAAAGCTATGCAAGTGAGTATTCACAGCAGAATAATCAAGTGTGTGATACCAGATCTCAGGCAGGTAAATTACAATAAAACCATTCCTGCCATGTCTGCTTTGTTTTCTACAGCAGTTTTAATAGTGAGGGACTTTAGGAACCTCTGGGTTTGAAGTGCACTGATACAATACAAAACCAACACATGTCCTTGGCAATGACTGACGGAAGAAATGGCAAAAATAGATTCAGACCAGTCTAGAATTAACAACTTAATCTGAATGTATTATGTACTATGAAAACCAGAGGCTTTAATATTGTTATAAAGTACTTCTGTGAATGCCAAAGATTCTATTTTGTATTAAGCATAAGCCCAAATGAACACATTATATAGTTTGCACACTATGATTCCCACATGATTTTTGTTGGGGCAGTGATGGGAATTGAATCCAGGGTCTTGTCCATTCTTGGCAAGCACAGTACTACTAAGCTATGTCCTCTGCCTGAGAAGAATTTCAACATCATGCTTAAAACCTGTTAGAAGAATTTTCACTAAGCATGACTATTACCCCCATTTCACTATTATACTTGTGAAAAGCTTTGAAAACCACTGGGCTTGATGACTGTTTCTACTTCAGGATACACTAAAGTAGTAATATATTTACCAGGTTACCAAGTGGACTTTTGTTTTGGTATTATATTTTTTAAGGTAAAAGACCCCTACTGTTTTGTGTGTATATGTCCCTTATTTGTCAAGGTGCACCCTTGTGTGCATCTGGAGAACAGAGACAGCTCTGTGGAGTTGGCTTTCTCCTTCCATCTTCAGATTCCAGGGACTCAATTCCAGTTGTCAGCCTTGGGCAGCAAGCGCCTGCACATGCCAGCAATGCCACTGTCATCCCCACAGCCTTACAACAACATCTTTTTAAAATCACTTGACTACAAGTTATTCCTTTTCACAGTCTGCTTTAGCATCCTGTCCTGTCCCACACAGTGCTGTAAAGGAAGTGGTATTTTTAACCTCTATTTCACAATGAGTTTAATCCAATCACTTGGGCAAATTAAGAAAAGCAGTAATTTTACTTATGTTTCATGTTTATACCAAAGACCACAAAGACTACTGAAAATTATAGGAACAAACAAAAACAGACAGTAGCTTCCTCTTAAGAAAAATTATGAAGTTAAATGTTTGATAATTAATGGTAGCTGAAAAAACACCAAGTAAACAACAAAACTTGAACTATATATACACTACATATATTAAATAACCTCCCTTCTAATCAACACTTATTTTATAATTTAAAAAGGTTTCTAGGCTAGTTTAGCTATATATGAAATTCTTTTTAATCTCCATCTAAACGAGATTAAACTACAGTTCCTAAGGACACTTTTTTAAAAAGTAAAATAGGCAACAGTAAAAAAAGAATATTTTCAGCCAGGGCTACACAGAGAAACCCTGTCTCAAAAAACAAACAAACAAACAAAAAAGAATATTTAACTCATTAAACAATCAAACAGCTGCCAAAAACAGCCTTTAAGCTTTCCTTCACTGAAAATAACAAAATGAAGCAGACGGAGTGCTTATTACTTCTTGAGAGCAGGTATTGCTGATACTAAAAGTGACTGTACACTAACTGGCATCAAATATATAGTCAAATTCTTTCACATAAAATCTAAAAATGAGTTAACAAACGTTCTATTTACATCTAAACTTCATATTTACAAGTGCTGTTTTCTCCTGAATTTCCCTCTGAAGCAATGCCACACAAACTCTTCAATCTATTTCGACCTATGACCATAGAGAGCCACTCTGGCACCATTTAGTGCACTTTATGGAGTACCAGCTTTACTTTCACTGCTACTGAATAGAGACGACGGTTTAAGACTTGGATGTGAAGCTACCAATGGAAATGTTCTGAAATGTTGCCTGCACTCCTACGTGTTAGTCCTTTTTAGCAACTTCTTCCAGTGGGACGGGGTGAGTGACTACCACCACAGCTCTGCGTTGCTTCCTACCATCTCACAGCTGATAGGAATGGTGGTGCACGTGTGCACCTTAGTCTAATTCTAGCACTGGGAGGTGGAGGCAGAAGAATCAGAAGTTCAAGGCCATTCTCTGCCACATAGTGAGTTCCAGACTACTCTGGAAGACATGAACTGGTTTCAAAACAAATAAAAAATTGTCCTATATAGTCATGATCTCTATAGAAAAACCAGCCACAGTTACTTTTAAAGCTGATTTTAAAAAAGATTTCTTTTAAAAAGCCAACATTAAAAACAAGTTACAAGACCTTAATTTACAAGATTTATTATTTGCCTTCTTAATTAACAACTTGTTAGATGAGAAATTTTATAACAATCTTTTGTGTTCCCTTTCTTTGAATTTCTGTGGGCTTCTTACAGCTGTGACCAACAAACTACAGTCAAAACAGTATGCAACTTAAGTTTTAATTTATTTTAGATATAAAATTTTTTAAAGATTCATTTTATTTTTAAAATTTTATTTTATGTGTGGGTGTTATGCCTACATGTATGCCTGTGTACTACATTCATGCCTGGTAGCCTGGGAGGCTGGAAGAGGGTGTCAGGTTCCCTAGGACTGGAGTTAAAGATGGCTGTGAGCTGCTATACAGGTGCTAGGAATCAAAGCCAGGAGCCCTAAAAAGAACAGCCAGTGCTCTTAGCTGTTGAGTCATTTCTCCAGCCCCCAAGACTCATTTTATTCTTATTTATGTGTATGTCTCTGTGTTTGCTGCATGCATGCAGGTGCCCATAAAGTCCAGTAGAGGTAGAACAGCCCTGGAGGTGGAGTTACAGGAGGGAGTGAGCTCCCTGATATGAGATGTCTAGGTCCAGTATGTGAGCTCAAGGCTAGGGGCTCTGTATAAACACCTCTCTCTCTCTCTC